CGGTGACAATTGAGAGTCCCTGCTTAAGCTTGAATAAACGACCCTCGTGTGCTTACATCGGAAACGGTCTCCTGGTGGTCTTTGGGACATCGCGATCTGGACACAACAGGGGAAAAAGGGAAGTCAAAAAATTGAATAACGACAGGAAGGGCTGATTAGTAACTGTGATGATGCACAAATGAGGGAGAGACAGTAAGAGAGAAAGCCAGAGAGAGAGAGAAAAGGAGGAGGAGGGGGGAGTGGTGGTGGGGGAGGCAGGGAGACACTAATAATGTACTGCAAGAGGCTGAATTAACCAGGTGTCAAGAGAGCTGTCTGTGAAAGGTTTATCTGTCTCCTAGCAAATGAGATGTCTGGATGATCCCCCTAATCACAATCAGAAAGCAGGATGCAGTTAACAGTAAACGGAAGCAGGCTCTCCAGGTCTAGGCCCTGAGGTACCCAAAACAAAGACAGACTGCTTAGTCCGGGTGTGACCTGAGTGTGTCCACCAAAGGTTCTCATGCCAGAGGCTGATCCTTTGCTTGGTGATGTGGAAATTGATAGGTGGGGCCTAGAGGGAGGTGATTAGGTCTTAAAGTACTCAATAAGTATTGCTGGCTGACAAGATTCTTCCACACTTAATGAGAAATTAAATGTTTAGGGGAAAAGCAGGCCAGCACATGAGACCACTTGGATAAAGTTTCACATCTTCAAAAATTTTGATAGTTTCACTTTATTTCCTTTTCCCACAGTCTTATGAGACTCTGAGAAAAGATGATAACTTGTAAAACCTTAAAGCAACACTACTGTCATTAAATCATTCAGCATATTCATTTCAACATGAGGGTAACAGACTTTTACCAGCATACTCATTCTCTGTAAAATGGAGGCTTACTCTCTCTGTTACAGGTGAGAAAACACATGAAATATTTTTCTTAAAGCCACAACCTTAAAAAAAAATCAAACACTAACAAAAAAAGATTTACTGAGCATTTACTGTATTTACTAAGTTTTTATAAGTATGTATGAACTCATTTAATCCTTACGAGAACCTATCTAAAGTAGTTACTAAGACTACAGATGAGAAAAGAGGCCCAGACATTAAATAACTTGCCCAAGGCCACAAAGTACAAATGTAATGACCAGGACACAAACCTAAGTAGTCTGGTTTCTCAAATTCCTCAGGATTTAAGTATATTTACATATCTATATTATCTTAGTCTGTTTGGACTGCTGTAACAATTCTTTACACTAGGTATTTTACAGACAACAGAAAATTTTCTCAGAGTTCTGAAGGCTGAAAGTCCAAGACACACAGGCCAATTCAGTGTCTGCTGGTGGCCCATTTCCTGTTTCATAGACAACCATCCTCTGTCTTCATCTTTATATGGAGGAAGGGGTGAGGGTCTACCTGGAGTCTCTTTTATAAGGACATTAATCCCATTCATGAGGCCAAAGCCCTCATGATCTGACCACATCCCACTGGCCCCATCTCTTGTACCATCACCTTGGGGATTAGGACTTCAACATATAAATTTGGGGAGGATAAATATGAAGAGAATCTAATTCTTTTCATAGTTATCATAATATAATACTCCTTCTGACAACATGGTCCAAATATGCATTATTATATATAGTTCTCTTACTTTCGTTTTTTTCAGGTTCGACATTCTTTGGCTCTGAATCATGAGTCACATCTACTTCTCCTTTCATCAATATAGTAACATAATGATGATTCTCTTTTTCAACAAAAGAATTTACCACTGAGGCAAAGCGGACATTTTTCAGGTGAAGAGCTGCTTCTTCCCAGGTTTCCCTTTGAGCACATTCTTCCCAGGTCTCACTGGAAAATGGAAATATATCATTGTTTTCAATTCTAGTTACATAATTTTTTGCCATGAAATTCTTAGTTAGAAATTTATAATGCAAAGCAAAACCCAGCTATAATTAGTTTATGCTTTAAAACATAAATTAACAACCCCACTTTTGACATTCTGTATATCCTATATCTAGTTAAAACCAAAGGATACATATTGAGCAAAAACAAACTGTAAGACTGCATAACTCTGTAATCATAAAACTCCCCTAGCCCCACCTGTGATTGAATGTGAGTAAATAGATAAAGATGCTTCTTAGTTCCCGGACACTAGATAAGATCCCTATCAGTCATAATTATCCAACCCTTTGTTCCGGACACCACTATCTATAGACCAATCTACAAA